CAACTCTTGGATTTGTGTTTTGAGCTCTTGCAATTCCTTCGGTGCCATCCGATACGGCGCCTTCGACACCGGTGCTGCTCCTGGAACAAGGTCGATTGTGAACTCCACCTGCCTGCTGGGTGGTCATCCTGGTAGTTGATCTGGGAACACATCCACAAAATATGAAACGAAGGATCCTAGCCGAGTGAACTCCCGCTCATATTCATCAACAGAGCGGTTTTCCTAGACTAACGCCAGAAATTGACGTTCCATCTCAGCACGGTAATGGGCTGGATAGTATTTCTCTTCTAGCATCTCCTTGAACTGGATCCAGGTGAGATTCTCTTTCTCCCCAGGACGCATGCCCCAGAAAGAGTTCCACCATAATCTCGCGTCTCCGGTCATCTGAAGTTGAGCACAGAGAATACGGTGCCTCTCGCTACATTCAATGATCTCAAATATAGATTCGAGAGCCTGAATCCACTCCTCGACTAAACGAGGATCTCCTTGTCCTGAGAATTTCTCAGAATTGTATAAACAAAATTGAGCAACGACTTCTGCTGTCGTTAACTCCCTCCGAGCTTGAGGTGCCATCTAAAATTTTATCGCAAAAGATAAACTTTTAGCACACTCAGAAAATACATGCAAGATATTATGATTATTGAGCATCTAGTCTGATTTCTAAGATTCGGATATCTGATTCTTATTGAGCATAGACTTAGTAATTTGCATATATTTAAACTTCATAAAAAAAACTTGTAGCAACAATTACCTGGTAGCCGGCGAGGTGTGAGCGTGGTATGGTCGATTTTCTTGAAACTTTTTTTTCAAAACATAAACTTTTAGTATACGGAGCCCTTAAACTTTGGCTCTGATACCAACTGTAACACCCCGCTTATCAAAGTAAATTTTTCGCAATCTTTTTAACTCGGGATGCTACTAAAACTTATTTTCTTTAATATTTGTTTCCTTAAGCTTGATCTAACAATTGAGTTAGACATAAGTAAAACAAGTACAATATCGAACAAGTATGGAAAACTAAACTTGTTTATAATGACAATTTGCAATTCATTTAAATATAAAACTTAAATCTCAAATCACACATGTTCAAATCTTAAAAGAAAAACGTAGCGAAATATCTTACAAGCATGGCATAAAAACCGAAACCTTTATTTAAAAATCCATAATAGCAAATGAATCAAAATCACGACCGATACCACCACAACTTGTCTCATACCTACGCACCGACCCTATTTCCTGAAAATGATAATAGTGGGACGTGAGTACTAATCCATTGTACTCCATAAAAACTCATACTAAAGTAAACAATAAGAATAATATCAATATCATAATTCTCGGTATGTAACTTGAAATTGAACTTTGCTTTGCAACTACCGTACTGCCGGTTCTCACGTGATCACATTTTTGGGGTCGCCTCCCCAAAACTCAGTCTTGACTGAGCTAGTCTAATCTGAACTTAGGATGTCTAATAAAGGACTAGGTCCTCCACCCCAAGTACTTAGGATGTCTAATAAAGGACTAAGTCCTCCACCCAAGTAATAACTTAAATACATACCTTGAATATGATAATAGCTATTATACTCAATGTAATACCCAGGCTGGATTCCTACCTTTCTTCTCGAAAAGTATTGAAAAATTGTAAATGTTGCTCTTGGTAGCCGAACTTCTCACGCTACATAAAAATATAAATAAATATACTAAGTGCTATGCTCGAATACTCAATAAGATATTGAGATTCTTAACTTTAACTGATAACTTTTAACTTATCCGAATCTAGCCAAAATGCTATAGCTCAAATAATCATAATACTTTTAATAACTCAAACTCTTAATAAATCATCATTTGATGCCAAAACTTTATATAAATAATGCTTTCTAAATAACGGTTTATAAACTTGCAAGTGAAAATATCTAACACATGCTCTTCAAAATTTCACATTAATTATTATAATGAGAAATTTCATACTAAATTCATATTAACATGCTTTATCTATAATTTTAGTAATTACTCTATTCAACTCATTTTAAGTTTAACCTTAACATATGTATTCTCAACATATACATAAAGTTACCTTAAAAATTTCACTTTAAAATAATACTCATATATTTAGATATATTATTTCAAAGTTGAAAATATAATAAAATATTCAATTTGCTATCATACTTGTCTTTGAAAAAAAAAATCTATTTCTCATGCTTCAATTATCTAAAAATTCTAAAACTTTAAATCATAAGTCTCAAATAAATCTAGAAATATCCTGTAAATTTTCTCATAAAAATAATAACCATAAAATAAGATATGAATTTCCAAATAATGCTTCTCTTGTTGAAATTCGAGATTTACTCACTTATGTTCATTATTTTCTATAGCATGCTAAACAACTCCAATAAATATAAAATTTAAACTGGAAGATCTTAACTAATATATGAATTGACCATAAAATTCTCAACTCAAGATAATATCAATAGATAGGGTAATTTCATATCACAAGTCATCATTACTACACAGATTTTTCACTGGACAGCACCTTAATCAATGATTTTTATAAAATTCATTTTAACTTCAATTAATCTAAAAATTTCCAGTAATACCCTTAACATAATGATGATCTCATATAAATTTTTTTATAAATTTTAGA